AAGCCAAGCCCTTTGATTATATATCTGGCCCTATTGCCTGTTAATAGTAATCATGCCCACCTTGTATCTGAGGGTTCAGCACTGTCACTTGACTTTCGACATTTTATAGTACCATCATCTCCATTAAAATCAGGGAGACATTTTAATATTGGCACTTCCCACTATTGTCCTCAGCAGATTAGTATTAACATTTCAAAGAAGCCTGTGCTTTCTCACCAGTGTATTTGGTAAAGCCCTGGTGAAGGGAGTGTCTTTTGGTTATGAGGTTGGTGAGAAGGTCACCCATGATAAATCCAGTCCAAATCTCCTATCTGCTTAAACTTTTGGATTCTTTTCTCTTCTTTACACCAATGTAGTATTATACCTTAACATCATTTAATATAGGTCACTATTGAGTCCGTGTTTCAGTCAGCCAAGCAAACAAGTAAAATCACTCTTAGATGGTCAAGTTAACACATTAAATCCTGAGTTTCTGATAGTACATTCATATCAATAAATTCAATCTATTTGTAAAAACTATTTTTTTTAATTTTATTTTTTAATTTTTTTGAGTCAGAATCTTACTCTGTCACCCAGGCTGAAGCACAGTGACACGATCACAGCTCACTGCAGCCTCTACCTCCTGTACTCAGGCAATCCTCCTGCCTCAGCCTCCCAAGTAGCTGGAATTACAGATAAGCACCACCACATCTGGTTAGTTTTTAAATTGTTTTTGTAGACATGAGGTGTCGCTATGTTGCCCAGGCTGGTCTCAAATTCCTGGGCTCAAGCAATCCTCCCCTTTGGCTTCATAAAGAACTGAGATTACAGTTGTAAGCCACCATGCCCAGCCAAATTCAGCCTATTTAACATTACAGCTGACCCTTGAACAACATGGATTTGAACTGCATAGGTCCACTTGCATACAGATTTTTTTTCCTAACAATATATTGGAAAGTTTTCTGTAGATTTACAACTATTTGGAAAAACCTGCAGATAAAACACACAACCTGGAAATCAGAAAAGATAAGAAAAAGTGAGGCCAGGCGCAGTGGCTCAAGTCTGTAATCCCAGCGCTTTGGGAGGCCGAGGTGAGAGGACTGCCTGAGCCCAGGGGTTTGAGACCAGCCTGGACAACATGGTGAGACGTCGTCTCTACAATAAATCAAAAAATTAGCCGGGTGTGGTAGCATGTGCCTATAGTTCCGGCTACTTGGAATGAGGCGGAAAGATCACCTGAGTCCAGCTGGTCGATGCTGGGGTGGCCGTGAGCTACTGCGCTCCAACCTGGGCGATGGAGTGAGACTCCAACTCAAAAAAGGAAAAAGAAAAAGTGAATTATGAGTGCATAAAATATATGTAACTACTAGCCTGTTTTATCATTTGCTACCATAAAATATGTACAAATCTATTATAAAAAGTTAAGATTTATCAAAATATGCACTTAAACTCTTATAGATGGTACATGATGCCATTTGCAGTTAAGGAAAATGTAAACAAATATAGATAATTCAATCATAATTGTATAAAATTAACTGTAGCACACACTGTACTACTGTAATAATTTTTAGCCTGTTGCTATTGCAGTGAGCTCAAATGTTGCCAGTATCTACTTAAAACACATGTGAAGCCAATCATCTCCACATAAGTTCGTTTGTGATAAACTGTGTATCCAAGTGAAAAGAGATCTCTTGTGGTTCTGGAGTTTTGTTTTGTTTTTAATTGTGTTTAGTGCAATACCATAAACCTGGAATAACACCATGGGACTTACACAAAGTGCCAGTAGTAACATGGAAGTGTCAAGAAGCAGAGAAAGCATGACATTACAAGAAAAAGTTGAATTGCTTCATATGTATTGTAGGTGAGGTCTGCAGCTGCAGTTGCAGGCCATTTCAAGGTAAATGAATCCAGCATAAGGACCACTATAAAAAAAAGAAAAAGAAATCCAAGAAGTCATTGCTGCAGCTACACCAGCAGGTGCAAAAACCTAGTACTTTTTACAAAATACCTTTTTATGTTATATTGAGAGTGCAGCTTTTAGGTCAGTGTAGGATTGCTATAAGAAAGGCATAATTATAGACTCTAATATGATTCAAGATAAAGAGGTCATTATATGAAAACTTAAAGCAAACTGAAGGTGAAGGGTCTAAAGCTAAAGAATTTAATGCCAGCAAAGGTTGGTTAGATAATTTTAGAAACAGGTTTAGCTAAAAAAAAAAAAAAAAAGTCAAGATAACAGGAGACACAGTTTCTGCTGACCAAGAGGCAGCAGACAATTTCCGAGATGCCATTAAGAAAATTATTGAGGAGATAGGATATCTACCTGAACAGGTTTTTGAGTGTAGATAAAAGTGCCCTGCTCTGGGCGGGGAGGGGGGGGGAATGCTACAAAGGATACTTATTAGTAAGGAAGAGAAGTAAGCACCAAGATTTAAGGCAGGAAGGAGTAGGCTAACTCTACAGTTTTGTTCAAAGGCAATCAGGTTTATTATTTTTTATTATTATTTTTATTATTTTTAGTTGTAGTCTCACTCTGTCACCCAGGCTGGAGTGCAGTGACATGCTCATGGCCACTGCAGCCTCAACCTGCTGAACTCAGGTTATCCTTCTGCCTCAGCCTTCCAAGTAGCTAGAACCATAGGCATGCGCCATTGTGCCCAGTTAATTTTTTGATTTATTGTAGAGACCAGATCTTGCCAAGTTGCTCAGGCAATCCTCTCACCTCTGCCTCCCAAAGTGCTGGCATTACAGGCGTGAGCTACTGCACCTGGCTTGCGATCAGGTTTATGATCAAGACTACTCATATATAAAGCTGCTAACCTCTAAGCCTTGAAGGGAAAAGATAAATATCAGCTGCCAGCCTTTGGACTGTACAACAGGAAGACCTGGATGAGAATCTTTTTTCTAGATTGGTTCTGTTGATGCTTTGTCCCTGTAGTCAGGAAGTACCTTGCTTGTAAGGAACTACTTTTGATATCAGACAGTACCTCTGGGCACCAGAACCCCATTAGTTCAACACCAGAGGCATGCCCCCAAACATAGCATCTCTAATTCAATCTCTAGATAAGGGAATCATAAGAACATTTAAGGTACTCATTACACAAGGCACTCTATGGAAAGGATTGTCAACACTATGGAAGAGAACCCTGATAGAGAGAACATCATAAAAGTCTGGAAGGTTTACACCATTAAGATGCCATCATTGTAGAAAAAGCCGTGAAAGCCATCAAACCCGAAACAATAAGTTCCTGCTGGAGAGAACTGTGCCCAGGTGTTGTTCCTGACTTCATAGGATTTATGACAGAGTCAGTCAAGGAAATCAAGAACGAGATCGTAGATATGGCAAAAAAAAAAAAAAAAAAAGTGGGAGGTGGTAAAGAGTTTCAAGTGGATCTTGGAGAAATTCAAGAGCTAATAGATCCCACACCTGAGGAATTAGCAGAGGACTACTTGATAGAGATGAGTGCTTTTGAACTAGTGCTAGACAATATGGAAGACCACAAAAAGAAGCAGTGCCAGAAAACAAATTGACATTAGGAAATCTGGCTGAAGGGTTCCAAATATTCAAGACAAATATTCAAGGCTGATCCACTTCCACTTAATGAATAGTAAGTATGTTTTCTCTTCTTTAGGATTTTCTTTTCTCTAGCTTATTTTATTGTAAGAATACAGTCTATAATACATAGAACATACAAAATATGTGTTAATCAATAGTTTATGCTATTGGTAAGGCTTCCAGTCAACAGTAGGCTATTAGTTAAGTTTTGTGGGAGTTAAAAGTTATGAACAGATTTTCAACTATGCAGGGGGTCAGCACCCCTAACCCTCATGTTGATTAAGATTCAATTGTCTATTCCTTTCTCCCTAGTTTAACTTTCTACAAATACATTCCTGCATATATTACTAGAGTTTCTGCCAATTTAAGTTGGCAAAATCTTGCCATTCTTTCAATATGGCAATCTCTAGGTCAGTCCCTACACTCAACCCCCACTCCCCAATATGTGTTGGGATCCACACATCAAGTGGTAGGTCTTGAGGACAACAGGCGTCCCATTACAAGGTAACTGCCTCAAGTGAGATCAATAAAGAATCCTAAAACCTGATCTTCTTAGACAGCCAAGGAAGGACTGCTTGTGCTGGCAAGAGAGGCTCAGTCTAATTTAGAGGTCCAGAGGACTCAGTGTCATTGGAGTCCTCACAAATGTCTTCATTCCCAATTCTCAGGTTTCCATGCATTCCCAAAGTCTTGTTTATTATATAAGAGACCTGATAAGGCTATTAAATCAACTAGTGCTCTAATTCTGCAATTCGCTTGATTATATTTGGGATTTGGTTTTTGAATACATTGACCTTCTGCTGCAAGAGAGAAGTTCTTTTAGGGCACTCATATAAGCTTTCTGGTTCTCTGACTATGCTTTGTTCCAGGAGTTAAATACCCAATTTGGACATTTTCTCCTAAGCTCATTAATATGGTCAGATATGGCTAGTCCACCTCACTAACCTTGCATTTCTCAATTCCACTATAACATTCTTTGTACCAGTCATGTGGTCTTCCAAACCACTTCATTACTGGCAATTATAAGTGATAATTTAATCAATTATTTTGCCATAGATTGCTAATACTAGTAACAAGATGATACCATCTTCAAATTTCAGATCAGATAACCAATCCCAAATTCCCAGCTTTGAGTTTCTGTTCACTGAAGCCACTTCTAGAACTCGATGCTTTTTCAGTCAGGATTAAGTTAGGAGAACAGCTTTCATTTTATGTAATTCAAATTGGAATATTTTTAATATAGAGAATTAGTTGCTTACAAAGTTGTTGGCAAGGTTGGTGGAGCAAAACTCAAGGAAAATAGCTGCTGGCTTTCAGGAAATCTGCAAGGATGGGAATCACATAAGGCTACTATGATCTCAGAAGCTGGAGTGACTGTAAGCCTTTTGCAGCAGAAAGGTTCACCAATTTACATTTCCTCAACATTACACCTTAAGTATTCTTATTATTTTAAAATGTTTTTCAGCATATCAAGAACAATCAGGAATTGTCAAAAAAGGTGTCTGGGTTACAGCAGGAGAAGAAAGCGCTATGTGAAGAATGTGGGCAAATTTTGAAGCAGCTTGATATCCAAGTGAGGTAAAGAAAAACACGTTCCTTTTGGAAGAAGACTATATAGTTATTTCTTGCTGAGCCAGGTCCAGGGCTTAATAGTGAGATGCTCACTGAAGCAACTATTCAAGAAGGCCATCATGGCTGGGTGTGAAGGCTTATGCCTGTAATCCCAGCACTTTGGGAGACTAAGGTGGGAAGGTTACTAGAACCCAGAAGTTGAAACCAGCCTAGGCAACATAGCGAAGCCTTGTCTCTACAAAAAAATTTTAAAAGTTAGCCAGGTATGGTGGCATGCACCTGTAGTCTTAGCTACTTGAGAAGCTGAGGTGGAAGGATTGCCTGACCCCAGGAAATCGAGGCTGAGTGAGCCATGATTGTGCCACTATACTCCAGCCTGGGTGACAGAGTGACACACAGTGACATCCCAACTGAAAAAAAAAAGAGAAACTGGGCCGGGTACAGTGGCTCACACCTATAATCCCAGCACTTTGGGAGGCCAAGGTGAGAGGATTTCCTGAGCCTACAAGTTCGAGACCAGTCTGGGCAACTTGGTGAGACTTCATGTCTACAATTAAAAAAAAAAAAATTAAGCCAGGCTCAGTGGCTCAGCCTGTAATCCCACGCCTTTGGGAGGCTGAGGTGAGTGGATTGCCTGAGCCCGCGGGTTCGGGACCCGCCTGGGCAGCGAGACCTCATCTCTACAATAAATCAAAAAATCAGTCGGGCATGGTAGCACATGTCTGTAATTCCAGCTACTTGGAAGGCTGAAGCGAAAGGATCGCCGGAGCCCAGCAGGTCGAGACTGCGGTGGCCAGGAGCAGCCACTGCACTCCAGTCTGGGTGACAGAGTGAGACTCCAACTCAAAAAAAAAAATTAGCCGGGTGTGGTGGTGCCTGTCTGCAGTTCCAGCTACTTGAAAGATTGAGGCAGAAGGATTACCTGAGCTCAGCAGGTTGAGGCTGTAGTGGCCATGAGCATGCCACTGCACTCCAGCCTGGGCAATAGAGTGAGACTCCAACTCAAAAAAAAACCCCCAAAAAACCCCAGCGTAGTACTTATAATTATGATTGATAGCATATACCAAGACAAATCAGATTTTTAGGAATCTGATTTAATTTTGGAACACATTAATAACACACTTATACAAATAAAACTCAAAGTTAAACACCATTTATTACTTAACAATGCTTTCTGTATGATTTTTACGTACCAAATAAGCCTAATATGTCTCTCCTGAACTTCCAGGGGTTCTTTTTAGAATGTTCAAAGGCTAGCTTGGAGGTAAAAAAGACTTAACTTAGAATTTGATTTTTGAGAAGTTTGTCAAATATCAAAGGTTTAAAACACTTGATTAGATTAGGATCATAGGTAACTGTGAAACAGTGGTTAATTTAGCAAAAGTGATCATTTAAAAAGCAAAAAAAAAATTTGTTTTAGTCATAGAAAAAGAGGAGACAGTTTTTCAGTCAAAAAACCTGGTAAAAACAGCATGAGGCAAATTTTTCCCTTTTTCTTTCATCTCTTTTCAGCTTACTCAAAAGGTAAACAAAAGCATTCTATTATCTCTCATAAATTATTAATGCTAAAGCTAATTTTATTAAAATCTTTTTTTTTTTGAGTTGGTGTCTCACTCTGTCACCCAGGCTGGAGTGCAGTGGCATGCTCACGGCACCCCAGTGTCGACCCACTGGACTCCAGTGATCCTTCTGCCTCAGCCTTCTAAGTAGCTGAAACTACATGCGTGCACTACCATACCCAACTAATTTTTTACTTATTGTAGAGATGAGGTTTCGCCAAGTTGCCTGGGCTGGTCTCGAACCTGCAGGCTTAGGCAAGCCACTAGCCTCAGTCTCCCAAAATGCTGGGATTACAGGCTGAGCCACGGAAGCCCGGCTACTAAAATCTTACAAACAAATCCACCCAATCTCAATCAGCTTTGACCACACAAGACAAAATTTCTGTAATCTCACAATTTGTCCCTTTCTCTTTCTTTTCCCAACTTTCCATATCCATCCAGTTTACCTATCACTTTTTTTATGCTTTCAACTTAAAACAACCTCTCATGACTTCTTTATAATTTTCTTTTCCAAAAACATATTATATTTTTTTCTATACCCTATATACTGAATTGTTTCTCTTATATCTAGTAGTTAAATTTCCACATAATAACTACAGTTGTAACTCTTAGTAACCCTCATTTCCAGTGAAAAACTTGGCAATAATTTTTTAACTGTTTAATATAGTTATATAGATGAAAACATTTCATCTTTTTTTAGAAGGATCTTCTGTCAAATGTTTATTAACTGATCTAATATATTTAGCTTTCTTATACCATATAAAAACTTCAGAAACTTAAATTTATGTTTAATGATTAATGTTTAACTTACTTAGAAAAGACTTCAACATTTTGATTATTAACTTAACATAACTTTAAGTTACTGAAAAAGATTTTTGAAACAATGAAAAGTTTATTTGTAAACTTTTATCCCATTTATATTCATTTAATTTACTCATTCTTAAAAATTATGCTTGAATTGTTCATTAAACAAAGCTAGCCATCATCTCAAATTATATTATCAATGCTCAACTTTCCAAGTAGCTGGGACTACAGCCTTCAAATCTTAGGCAATTACCATTTAATAAAGAACACTGAAGTTAAATACATGAGTATTTTACTGATCAGAAGATACAACTGCTTTCTTTAAAACAACAAACTAGCCGGGCTCGGTGGCTCAGCCTGTAATCCTGCGCCTTTGGGAGGCTGAGGTGAGTGGATTGCCTGAGCCCGCGGGTTCG